CCTCTCATATGTGTGCATGTGCTCGCACACTTGCACATGCAGTGAATGTTTGAAGTTGTGCAAACAAGATACAAATGGCCACAGTGTTCTGAAGAGGTGATGATCAAGGGGAGTGGAGACTGCACCACAGAAATGTTTTCCAAGGGCCAGGAAGCAATTTGAGCTCTAGTGTCTGACTTTGAGATGCGTTGCATTTTTAACGAGTGACTGAGGGGGATACGTATTACATTCTTTCCGGTGGACCACCACACCGAAGGTCTCCTTGGCACTGTTGCTGCTCTCCAACATCCTGCGGTAGCCTGGGGAAGTTCCAGAAGGCTGGTGTGCACCATTTTTACACGTGATCATTCCTTTGAGAAGGCAGTACAAGTGGAGAAAGCAGCGAAGCACTTACTACAGGAGGACTGAGGTGAATTGTCCTCATTCCCTCCCCTCTGAGCGGTACTAGTGAGAGAGCTCAGATTGAACTGTGCTGAATAGTTCAGCACTTTTCCATCAGCAACGACAGTGAGGATGGAAAAGGGAAGGAATCTAGCTAAAATGCACTTCCCTTTGCAGGGTCAAACTAAGCACTCACTAATAGTGTTATAAAAATAAGCACCTGTACTTCAATTCCTGAAAATGTTGGTTAATGGAGAGAATTTTGAAGATCTACTTAAATATTTGCCCCATCAACCTGCATAGGTGAGTCTTCAGATACTCCCAAGAGAGCTTCAGCCACAATCCTCGGTTAAGAACACAATGTATGTAGGCCCTTGGCTTTGGCCCCTGAATACCAGGGTACAGCAAAGGAAGATAATGTAGCCTCCTCTCCCGTCCTTCCGCTCCACTCGGGCTTCTACACTGAGCAGCAACCATATCCTGGGTTTCAGATGCTACGTCTCCTGCTTTTGAAATCTAGCTGTCCCAATGGGTTGACCCTACTGAGGCAAGATATCAACTCTGAGAGGGACTGAGTCACTGAGGGTGGCACATGACAATAGTAATGAAAAGATCCTCGGAAGCCAAGACCACATATTTTACCTTTGCAAGAAAAAAACTGGCACAATGAACTCTGAGTAGAGATGGATGATATCTTTGCCTTTTCCCAGAAACAGATAACATTTCATTTCTGTGGGAAGGGTCAAAGAATGCTAAACAATTTATTGCTTAGCAGTTCTGCTCAGTCCAGATGAGAGCCATTGGGTTAAGGCCTAAATGCCTCCCTGAATTCTCTTCTACCTCGAGTGTTAGGAGCCCATTTCTAGAACAGAAATGAACACGTGGAGAACCCATATTGTCAGCCTTGATTACTATAGAGCAAGCAAGAGGGCAGTAGTTTATATGTTTTAATATAAGACAAACTTCTAACTTTTCCAACCTATTAACTAGGTTATATTCACTGTGGCTCAAATGAATTGGCAGCATGAGACGTTCCTTTACCTTCAAATTTCTCTCCACCAATCATTTTGGTTTCATTGCAGTCCTGGTACCATATGTCCCCTGCAAATTGTGAAAGTAATTAGTGACAAAATAGCAGCCTACTCCTTTTCAGTGGCCAAACTGTCAGCATTAGCAGACTTGGGTAAGCTAGTGGTACCATATCATGTACTGGAAACCTGTTCCTGAACATCACCCACCAGATACAAGAAATGCCATCTCCTAGAAGAGTGTGGCGTTTATGGTGGTTGTCTCTTGAATGGAACAGTAATTTATGTGGATATTGTTAAAGTGTTTAAAGACTATTTTGAAAATTAAGTTTACATTTTACAATTGCTTTATTTTTATTAAAATAGTTGTATATAAATATTACCCTCGATTTCACTGTTGTTATAGTAAACCTAAGCCTTGTAGACAAGTGAGTCAACTGATATGTATAGAAGCTGCGGTATATATAGTACATTTCTCTATTGTGTAAATGTTCATGAATATAACTGTTCCTGTGTTTTTATAAGTTGGGGATAATTTGTTGTTTTACAACAACAAAATTTATTGCATTCAAATGGTTTTTATGGAATAGAAATCATGCAAAATAGTGAAGGATTTAAAATATGTATATGATAAATGTAAATGTACAAACTTCAGAAAGAAATAAATCCAACAAATTTCTGTCATTTGGGGGACTGTTTTTATTTGCTTATTTAAGCAACTGGAATAATAACGTTTAAAAGTCAGAACAAGTAACACAACCCTCTCTATTCGTTTACTGGGGCTGTCGTAACAAAGTACCACAGACTAAGTGGCTCAAAGCAACAGAAATTGATTCTCTCACAGCTCTGGAGGCTGAAAGTCCAAAATCAAGGCGTGAGCAGAGCCACACTCCCTCTAAGGCTCTCAGGAAGAGTCTTTCCTTGATTCTTCAGGTTCTGGTGGCTCCTGTTGTGCTCTGACTTGTGGCACATAACTTGGATCTCTGCCTTCGTCTTCACAGGGCCCTGTTCCTTGTCTCTGTGTAGTCACATCCCCATCTCCTTTTCTTACAAAGACCGGATTACAGCTGTAAAGACACTATTTCCAAATAAGGTCACATTCACAGGTGCCAGGGGTTAGGACTTGAGCATATTTTGAGTGGGGAACACAATTCAACCCCCTACCCCCGCACTGCATTTAAAAAAAAAAAAAGACAATCACGAGCCCTTCTGTGAGAGATCTGGCCCGGACAGTTAATTGAAGTGGTAGTGAGAAGGTCAAATTGCTGATACTAATTCACCTCCATTGACCTTTGAAAATGCATGTTTGTATAAAGATGGTGGCAGACGCTATTCATTGGGGGTATGGTCTGCACCTGTGCCTCCCATCCAGGCTGCCTAAGTAAAGGCCTTGGGCCCAGAACATTCTCTGCTAAAGAGGCTGGGAATTGGGTCGCCTTCTCCCTCCCAATTCCTTCTCATCAGAGAATCCTCCCTGTTCTGGGCACTCAGTAACTTTCTTTGTCTCTTGCACATAGACGGGCACCATACGGTACCTGGCCAACCTCACTTCTATGTCTGTTCCCGGCAGGGAGGGAACAGGGTCTCTTCTACCATGGCACAAGAGGAGAAGTATACCAGATTGTAGGAGCCAGTCCCAAGGGGTGGCCTAAAGAGGAAACAGGCTTTGCGAGGCTGGACATGAGCGTCCTCATGTGGTCTGCTGGTTCACTACGGGTTGCTAAGTTATCCTTATGTAAGTCTCTGACGTGTAGCCACTATTGTCTGCTACCCCCACAAAACCTCTGCTCTCCCACTGTGGGTGGGCAGACCTGCCTTGGTCCTGCGGCCAGCCATGACTGCCTCGTCTTTAAGTCTCCCTAATAAACTCCTTTGCTGCCACCCTGGAGCTGCCCGCCTTTCTTCAGTCTCTCAGCACCCTCCAGTTTTAGAGGCAAGTTTTACGTTACTGGTCCATGCCTAGGCACTATTAAAGACCTGAGAGGCCTACTGTCTTCATCAGGGGGTTTGAGCAGTGGTTGGAGCAAGTGAACTTTCCAAAGGAATTTCAAGAATTTCCATTTACTCTGACACTTCTCAAGGCAGAGGGACCATGGAGTTAATTACTGAACTAAAATGCAAACACTGATCTCCAAATCATGGCTCTCTTGTACCTAGTGTGTACATTTGTGTTCTTGTAATGAAACCTAATGTTAAAAACAAGATCTGTTGACTTGGAAAATGAAA